CCGGCTAAGGCTGCTGGCCACGCTGGTCAGGAGAGAAAGCCTGATCATATGACACACCCGCAGCGTCGGGCCATTCGTAGAAGCAAGTCGGGGCGACCAACTGGCATCCTGGCACGTCACAGTTTCGTTACTCGTGCAGCGAAGTCTCTCAAACATCCCTGGCTCCTTATCTGCGAAGCGGAATAAGACACATGCGACGATGAGGGCAACGAGAACCTGGCAAGAAGCCAAATAAGCTTCAAAGCTGCGCAAGACATTCATCCAGGTCGAGAGCGCTGGAGCACAAGGTAGTACCAGCCCGCTCCATGCCCCATGCATGGCTCCGAGAATCACGAATCTAACCGCCACATTAGGGTCTAGCACCGTCAAACAACAAATGTGATACATGCGAAACGGGTCGATGAACAACTTCGCGTGTTAGTTGAACACAAGGCGAGCGAATGCTCGAACATGCAAGTGCTTGTAGCAATGATAACAAGCCTCTTTTGTAGCTCAACATAAGCTCAATACAATCGTCACATGACGGTCAAAACGGATGCCATGGACTTAAATTCATACTGCTCGCCCCTCTTAAGAAATTTATGTTCCACGCGGCATGTCAGCTCTTGGGTCGACAGTGGCCAGCGACGCAAAGACTTCGCCCCACAGGTCAACAAAGCCTTGGCACATGCCTCGCTGACAATGCCACGCCACTTTGCAAAGGCATGACACCATAAATATCCGTAACCTAAATTCTGTTTGTCTTGACCATTACAACCATCCCAGCACTAAACGGGAATTTCCTTCAAACCACACAGCTGAAATTGATGGGTTTTGGTGTTTTTGCGGGATCAACCGCCATGTCCCCTGCGATTTGCGGATTGCAGATATGAGACGACATGGGATTAAGCGCCGTCACCTAATGAAACGACAGGATTCAATCGCGCTCGCCTAACGGGGGGCCGGGTTTAAGACATGGGATCAACCTCACTCGCCAACTCAGGGGGTGGGTTGAAGAGACGACAGGAAGCTCCATCTTGTAACGAGGTGGCAGACTTGTGATATTAAAGCACTCGCTATAAACGCAAATACTTTCGAACTGTCAAGCCAAAAACTTTCGAACCTTTCAACCCTCGGACTGTGCGTCGAAAGCTTGCAAGTTGGAGTGTTTGAAAAGCTTGACATCGATACGCGCACGCGCTCGCGGTCGCGCTTACGAAGGTGCCCAAACTTTCGAACTCCCGAACCCTTGAATCTTTCAAGGCTTGAACCTTTCACACTTCCAAAATCAAAACTCTCGAACCTTCGACCTGGCTTGGCCGAGGAGTGTTTTGCCGAGTTGTGTGTTTGGGGCGGGGGGCGGGGGGCGGGGGTGGCGACACCTTCCCCTCCCGTCGCGATATTGGGGGGGGGGGTCTGTTTTCTTGGCGTGCAACATCTCGAGAAATTGCGACGAGGCTCGCAATCGTCGAATCTTAAACCACTGTGGCTCTTCGGTGTCTCTTCGGCTCCATTATTCGCATCTCGGCTCCAATCCAAATCGACCCCTGTGGCTTGGCCAGAAGTCTGAGGCATTTCCCACCAGCACTTCTTCGAAGTGCGTTCGTAAACGGGAAATGCCTGGGAGGAAAACGAGGTTGGTGAGACATCCACAAACTAAATTCAGCTGGAGGCGATGAACTTATCTTTCCACATCCGCGGCCTTCAGACTTGTTCGAGGCCACATTGCTGTGCTGGGAAGAACACCTCTCCCTCTCTGTCTCTCTCCCTGTCTTGCTTGTTTGCTCGGGAGGGGTGAGGGCTGAGCTTATCTCTGCTTCTTCTCCAGGGGTTGAATGGCCAGTGGAAGAACTGTGTGCTCCACCTTTGGCCTAGTGTGAGCATCACCCGAGAGCCTTAACAAGTCTTGTGAAGCATGGCTGTGTCAAGCGTGCCGAGAAGTAGTCCGTAAGCAAAACAAAATACTAACAAGAATGTTTTTTTGCTTCCAAGCAAACGAACGAACACTGGGTGTGCCGATGTGGGTAGGCGGTTTCTCCATCCGCCAACCCTCTCGTTCTTTCATCGGGACCAAGAGACTGTCTGGGGCTTGAAGGGCTGGCAATCCCAACCGCTCCAAGGAGCTGCCCCATCCACCGTTTTGTGTGGGCTCGGCTGTATCGAAAAGAATGGCGAGCCCAGGTGGGCCTGGTTTGCTCGCAGAGGCGACTCAACACTGGTACGGAGGGCCAAAAAACATGCCTTGATTGGCCTCGTGAGTCTTATGCATTCTGCAGGTTCACCATTCTGTTGTGGCGAAATGGAGTTGGTGCCCCCGTAAAAGGTGAACTAACAGGTATGTGCCCTCTGTACCATCACCATTCTGCTCATCTTTTCTTGTTGGCTGTGTCAAGTTTGATGGCGGCCTTGGTCACTCGCTGTGCCAAGCCAGCCACGTGTACAGACTTGGGCTGGTGTGCCGGTGCTTTTGCCTCGGTCTGCGCCCTCCTTTTACCATCTCCACACTTTTCAACACCCCAACCGTCTGGTACCTTGATTTTTTTATGTTGGTTGTGATGTGGTGTTTTGTGGCTTTCGTTTGCTTGTGCATTGGTTTTCCCAATGTTTCTGTTGTGTTTCAACAGAACAATAGTCATCCTACACCCCAACCATTCAGTAACTTGAGATTTTGAATGCTCCGCCACCTTGGTGTGTCCCGGCACTGGCCTCCGTGCCGTACCTTTGGCCCGCGTTTTTACGGACTTGTCCCGGTTGGTGCCGGCCTCCCATTTTACAGGTTCTGTAGCGTCTGGGTCCCTGCGCCCTTTTAGGGAGAGGGGGTCGTTCGTCGTCTCGCCTGGGTCCTCGAGGAGCTGGTGTTTCTTCTTTGCCTGGTTCAGCGTGTTTGCCTGCGGATCCTCTGCGTGGTAGCATGTCGCCTCTTCCTATTCGCGAGTGGCCTCAAGCCCCCCAACCAGCTCACCGAGTCTCTCTTCGCTGCTGCTGAACGTTTGAATGTCAGGGTCTGCACCCATCCCCTCTGCATCCGTGCGCTACGCCACCGGTCCCAGGTCAGTCTTTTGTTGTGAATTTGTCGTGTGGAGGCCCGATGCACGCTAAGACGCTCCCCGGTAGCCGCCTCTCTCTCCCCCCTCCCTCTTCTTCCCCAGGGCATGAGGGGTCTGTCAAACCCCCCGGCCAGTTGGCCCCCCAATTGTTACTGGGGCTTTCGGAGGGTGTGAAAAGTTGTTTTCAGTACTGGTTCGAAAGAACTTTTACCACTAACTGAAGCAGCGCGTCGAGGTATGATGGAGTTGTTTGAAGATCTCAACTTTGAAACACGCGTTCCCCCCTCGTTGCACTTACTCAGCTCCCTTCCTCTCTCTCTCTCTCTCTCTCTCTCTACCAGGCTTGGGGCTTGGGGCTGGTCGTCTCTCTCTCTCTCTCTCTATCTTTTGCTTTGCTTTGCTAGGGGTTTGAGGCAGCAGCAGACCTGCTACCCCGCGCTCCAAACCGCTACCCGCTACCCCATCCATCATTCTGACAGATGGAGGGTGTCTGTAAAGTTGAGTGGCTATCGAGTTGACAGCATGTGTGGTGTGCCTTCGTGGGGGCATTGTGCAAACAGCAAAAGAAGCAAGTACAAGTCACTAGCTCCCAAGTTGTTGGTGCCTCATGTCGGCTCTCTCTTGCTTGCTTGCTTGCTTGGGGTTTGGGTTCTGAGGGGAACCCCAGCCCGAGGGCCAACCCCTGAGGCATCTGCGTCGTGGCCCCTTTCGGGGTGAGGGTACAACGCATTTTGTCGGATGTGCCTTGAAACCCCGGTCCGACAAACCACCCCTACTCTTCCCCAGTCCCTACTCTCTCTCTCTCTCTCTCTCCCTGTCTCTCTCTCTCTCTCTCTCCCTCCCCCGGGCATAGGGGTCGGTCAAGACCCCCGGGCAGCATGCTCACCCGCATGTGTTATGCAGGAGTAGGGGTGTGAAGATCTCTTTTTTATTCTCTCTCTCTCTCTCTCTCCTGGGCAGGAGAGGCGTTCAAAGCCTCCCGGGCCGAAGGCCCACCCATGTTGTTGGGCTTTGTAGGGAGGGGTGCCAAGCCTGTCTCAGCAACAGCGAGGAAGATTATTAACTGCATGCTTCTCCTCGTGCTTTCTTTCTTTCCTTCTCTGGCTGCTTGCTTGCTGGGCGTGTGGGGTGCGAGTTGAACCCTCGCCCCCCTGCGCTGTCGCCCTACGCCGTAGTCCGTGTCTTAAGTCGGCGTGAGACGTGTTCGTGAGTTCGTTACCAGCTTTGCCTCCTTATCGACCAGTGTCCCTGACCCCAATCCCCATACTTAACCCAAGCTAAGTCCCCGCCTGGGCCTGTTCGCTTGTGTCGAGCCCCACTCTGTACGTTTGTGTAGTTGCCCCGCCGGGATGTGTTGGTGACCCTTTGCGCAACAACTCTTCCTCAACACAGTCAAAGGGAAAGCAAGGCGCTCCCCCTCGCGTGCGCACGCGCCCTGTTCGTCTTTGTCTCAGGCACAGCTACTACACCAGATGAGGGCCTCCGTTGCGCTCTCGCTCTCTCTCCCTCTCTGTCTGTCTGTCTGTCTGTCTCTCGGCCACCAGGTTCTAGGGGGGGACGTGAGACTCTCTCTCTCCCTCTTGCTTGCTTGCTGGCATTTGGGTGTGCGGACGCAGGCTGACGCAGGAACCCCTCCCCCTGCGCGCGGAGCCCTGCGCCAGTGTCCGAGTCTCTCTTCTTCCTTCAGGTAAAGGGAGCGTGCGAAGCTCCCCGGCCCATAGGGCCCCCCGTACCTCTTGTGGGGGGCTTTCGGGGAGTCTACTGTACGTACCAGTTCTACTTCAGGGTGGGAGTCTGTTTTATCCCCCTCCAGTGGCTTCCCCCGAGTCTCTCTCTCTCTCTCTCTTTCGATCTTTGCTTTGCTCGGGTCATGAGCCACAGGCAGGCCGTCCCTCTGGCCGGCTTTCTGCTTGTCTCACTCTCGCAGTCTCGCCAGCAAGATCAATACCTCCGGCATGCAATTTCGTCCGGAAATCAACTCTGAGCGGGAGGCAAACTGTACGAATATCTCATCTTCCGGATGACCTTCCAGGCTCCGGACAGATCCACTGCCGCACAGCTTACATAGACATTATGTTTGGCATCTGGATGCTGGTCAAGCTGCCGGAATTTGAGAAGGCAGCTTTCCGCCATCATGAACAGCTCGCTTCCTGCGGGATATTCGTCGGGAAATCTCCACTCTCCTCCTCGACATGTCTGAGACAATAGCGTTAAATGCTCGTAGACCAGATCGGCATCCTGAAATGGGATTGCTCTAAAGACCTAGTTAACAGAGACATTCTGACGTTCTCGTCGCTGCTCAGGTCGGCACACTGCTGTCTTTTTGCTTGCCCTCCATTGCTCGCTTCTGATCCCAGCATTCGATGCCCTTCGCAACGCAGGGCAAACCGAGGGGAACCACAGACGCCACAGCCCAACAGCATGCAACGGCAGCAACAAAGCTCACTCGCAGTCGCCTCGAGGATCCACTTGTGCATGTTGCTATCGAGCCGCTTCTGCAACGCCTGCCCACCAGGCGAGGCTCCAGGAAGCCAAGCAGCTAGAAACCAGATCAGCACCCCGGTCCTGGTGCCGCGCATTCTTCCATCGCATGAAGTTCACCTGCGCATCGAAGACTCGACGATTGGAAGCAGTCCTGCCAAAAGTGAGGTAGTCAGAGGCAGCTTGGCATCTGATTGGTAAATGACTTGCCCTCGTAGACCAAATTTCTACAACTTCGACTCTGCGAGCGATCGTCAGTGTCTTGTTTTGATTGTTTGTGCCTGCACTGCACATGTTTAGCATTTTTTAGCCGATACTGCAGGCGCACTGGTGAGTAAGTGGACCCTCTGCCGGTCGTTTTCCGGGGTTTGCGTGGGACTCTTGGATGGCCTTGGCTGCTGCTTGAGGCGTGCTTCGTTCATCTTGAAGTGGAGAACTGGCTGCATCAAAAGTTATCACAACTGTGACATTCAAAAATCGGAGCCATCTACACATAGGACGAGAAATTCGAACTAGGTTGCGCAGCACACATTTCAGATTGAATTTTGCACTACAACCATTTCATAGACTTGAACACAAGTGCGGATCGAAACTGTGGCATTGCTCGTCTTGAACGGAAGATACTTGTTTGGGTAGTCTTCGTGTGCCCTGCATGACTCTTGCTGGGTTCCTCCGGTGTATGGGGGCGAATATGCTTATGGATATGTAAACAAACATATGTGTACATAAGATATATATAAATACAAAATATTTAATATAAATAAAAAATAATATAAAAGTAAATATAAATATAAACTCAGATATATATCTAAATATAACCATGTATATATGTATGTACATATATATATGTATATGTATAGTTGTGTCGGGGCATGTAAGAGCAAACATACACAATGTACCTATACACAAACACGTACAAGTACATGCGCCTGCACATGCACATGCATGCATATGAGCACACACACATAAACATGCACAACTACACATACGTAGAAACATACATGTGCTTGTACATATATACATATATACATATATACATATATACATATATACATATATACATATATACATATATACATATATACATATATACATATATACATATAAACATATAAACATATATACACATATACATATATACATATATGCATATATACACATATACAAATATACAACTTTACATATATACATATATGCATATATACATACAGACATATATACA